CCATACAAGATATTTAAAAGACTGATACATTAGTTCCATAATGCAATGATGGTTTTATTGACTTGGATATGGTTCCCTTAACATATGTGCCTACAAAGGTTGAAGATGTTCAAGATAATCAACATAATACAGATGATGTTGATACTAGTCTTACACAAGTTAAGGTAGGTGATAATACTTATGAACAATCACCAGTATCAAAGTATCTATTAGAGGTTTTACCAGAAGTTTTACTCAAAAAATTTATTAAAGATAAACAGCCTTTCATACAGTCTTCTGTTGATGAGTATGCGTTACTAATTGATAAGGGAGAACCCGAATGTTATGCAAAAGCCATAGAAGATGAACACAAGAAAAATTAGGTTGATACCATGTAGAATGAGATGAAGTCTTTACATGAGAATAATATTTTTGAGCTAGTAAAGCTGCCTAAGAAAAAAAGAGCTTTGAATAACAAATAGGTATACAGAGTGATGTAAAAAGAACACACTTCACAGCTATGTTTCAAAGCTAGATTAGTTGTCAAGGGATTTAGTTAGAAGAAATGTATTAACTTTGATGAAATCTTTTGTATGGTTCTAGGTTTAGTAGTTAGTCTTGATTTGAAAGTTTATTAGATGGATATCAAAATTACTTTTCTCTATGGTGACTTGGAAAAAGAGATTTACATGAAGCAGCTATAGGGTTTTGTAGTAAAAAAAAAAAGAGGATTATGTGTACAAGTTGAATAAAAGCCCTTATGGATTGAAGTAGGCACTAAGACAGTGGTACAAGAAGTTTGAGTCAGTAATGGATGAGCAAGGCTATCAAAAACTTACATTTGACCATTGTGTATTTGTGTAAAATTCTCTGATGATGATTTTATTATATTATTACTTTATGTTGATGATATGTTAATTGTTGGTAAGAATGCTTTTAGAATTGATCAGTTGAAAAAGCAATTGAGTAGATCTTTTGCTATGAAAAATTTAGGACCAGCACAGTAAATTCATGGAATTTGAATTCATTGAGATAAAACAACTAAGAAATTGTACATGTCATAAAACATTATATTGAAAAAGTGCCTGAAAGGTTCAATATGGATTAAGCTAAAATGGTTAGCTTTTCTCTTACAACACATTTTAAACTAAGTATTAAGTAAAGTTCCTCTATAGCTAAAGCAAAAGTAGACATGATAAGAATTTCATATGTTTTAGTAATAAGAAGTTTGATGTACGCAATGGTGTGTACTAAGCTAGACATAACCTAAGTAATTGTTGTTGTTAGCCACTTTTTGTCAAATCCAAAAAGAGAGTATTGAAATGCAGTTAAGTAGATTATAAGATATCTACAAGGCATTTACTACTTGAAACTCACTTTTAGAAATGAGAAACCAATGTTAATTGGCTACACTAATTCAGATATGGCAAGAGATGTAGATTCTGAAAAGTCCACTTTAGATTATTTGATTACATTCTCAGGTAAGGCTATATCTTGCAATCGAGACTATAAAAATGTGTTATTTCTACAATAGAGGTAGAGTATGTTATAGCCACCGAAGCAAATAAGGAGTTGTTTTAGATGAAAAAATTCATACAAGAACTTGGTTTCAAGCAACAATGTTATGTGATAGTTGTGACACCCAAAGGCAATTCATCTTGGTAAGAATTTTACTTTTTATTCAAAATTAAAGTACATTAATGTGAGGTACCAATAGTTAAGAAATGCTCTAAATAACAACTTGTATGTACTTGAGAAGATTCATACAATCACAATGGTTTTAATATGTTTGACAATGATACTATCAAGGGAAAAGCTTGAAGTTTGTCGTTTAATTGCTGAAATGGTGATTCCCTTCACATAATTGGAAAATGAGAGATTGTTGGGCTTGGTTTTCTCTACGTGAAGGTGGTCTAAAATGAAAACCCATACACCAAGGACTTTTTAGTCTTTTTTCATGCATGGTTGTAAGGTTTTAAACCCTTATATAATAACATTATATGGTTGGAAAAGAGACAATATGTGGTGAAAAAATAGAGAAAAAGGAAAAAAAAAGGTTTGTGTAGTTTTGATTAAATAATTTGATCAAGATCAATCTGTGGTCCGATTGAATTAAAATTTTATTAATTTGTTCACGACTCATTGTTTTCAGTTTGAATGGTGGAGATCAAGTTTTGAGTTTTTTACCTACTGATTTAATGGATGTTTGTTAATCTTTAAATTTAGTAAAACTTCTCCAATTTTTTCTTGTAACATTATTTCTTTATTAAGATTGTTTAATCTTGAGATATTGTGGTTGTATTTCTTTAGTTCTAGCTCAAAAGAACTTTATATTTTAATTATTTTGATAGAAAAGATTATTTGTTACTATTCGTGATTTTTACTCCTCATTTTGAGAAAATTTTTCATATAAAATTGCTTGTATCCTTATGTTTATGGTTTGAAGATTTATTTGTTAATTTTACTTGTTTGATTCTTACTAGATAACTTTATTTGTTTGATTCTTAATAGATTCACATAACAGAAAGATAATTTAATTTTTCACTGCATGACATATTTGCTTTGAATATTATTTGAGATTATTTTATCCTATAAAAGAGAAGAAAGGAAAATAGGTACTTTTTTTTTTAAGAGAGAAAAGTGTTAAATTTAATCCAAACAAAGCTAAAAAACAAAAGAAAAATGTTAAGGACAAAAAATGAAACCCTTTCTAACCACATTTCCTATTAAGATTTCAACACCTGTAAAAACAAATGGAGAAGTCCATCAACTGGCCTCGAATTTGAATGTGAAAGCAATAAAAGCCCAACAAATAATAATAATTTAGACCTATTATTATTACCTTAAATCTTGATGATATTTTTGGACAACAAAATCTTTTTTTTTATCTAGTATTTCTCTGTTTTTTTTTTTTTTAAGTTTTTTATGAAAATGTTCATTTTTTCCTTTGGATTATATGAAAGGGTTAAGAAATGATTATTGCTTTAGTGGGATGATACAAGGTTGCCATTATTGTTGTTGTCTTTTTTTTAAAAAAGGTTGTGGTTACACACATGGTTGCTGCTGTTGCATTTCTTTTGTTCATGTTTTAAAGGGTATATTTACTAAAGAAAAAGAAACTTTGAAATTAATCAAAAATAAATGTTATACAAGTAATAAAATGTGGCAACTGATTGAAAGAATGTAATTTGCTTCCTTTCTCACCATAAATATATATCTATATTATAATTCATCTATTAAAATCTAAAGTAAGTGGTACGTATATATGATTCTGAATTCAATCAAATGAAAGAAACTTTTCCTCAGGGATTCAAATTGCAGTTGTATAATAGAATAATGGCCGTAAAATTATGGTAGCGTTATCACTTGCCATCGTTATTGAGAAAAATGTGATTGAAAAATTGAATCACACTTAAAATGATGCGTAACGACTGTTAGAAAACAATGTAATGAGAAATAGTGACAATTATTGCTATCCCCATTTTTTTAGTCACCGATTCAAATTTAACAGAAAAAAAACTTCAATTGACAATAATCCTAATTCAATCCATAAATTACTTAAATTCAAATTAGTCTCAAGTCTTAATTCAACAATAAAAATAAGAAAAAGGTAAGAAAAAATTAAATTACCTTTTTTTTTTGCAAAATTTCTGTAAAATAATGTTGATCTTTGTGATAATTTGCGAGAGATGATATTGAGATACTTTGTAGGCAATGACATTGATGAGGGTACGCGAGAGAGAGTGACAGATGCAGAAAGAAAAAAGGGAGAGAAAAAGAAAACATGAAGAAAAGTTGAAGACAAGGGTTTCAGCCTTCCTGGTTATCAAAATTTGAAATTTTGAAGGAGATAGCTGTCTGCACTAAGGGGGATGCGTGGGTGCTGAGTGGGGTGGGGTAAGGTGGGTTAGGGTGGGTGGGTGGGTTTTTATTTATTTAATTTTGTAATTAATTTTATTAAAATATAAGTTTAAAATTTGTAATTTTTGAAATTATATATATATATGGATTTTAGATAAAAATTTTTAATAAATTTTTTTGTATAAGTTAGATAAAAAATAATTAAAATTAAATATTATAATTTGATTTTGTTATTTATTAGTTTATGATTTTGTATTTGAAATTTAATAATTTTTTTGTTATTTTGGTATTTATATTATTGTCAATTCTTTTGTTATTAGATTAATTCTTTTTAATTTATAATTATAGTTGATATAATTTGAAATTATTATATTTTTAAGTTTGTAATTTTATTAAATATGGATGTTTGATATTTAACTTATTATGTTTAATTAATATTTTTCTTTGTCTAAAATTATTTTTAAATATGAACTTGGCTCAAGTAACAATGTTGTTGCTAAACCAAATATAAATGTTTTATTATAATTTAAATAAAATTGTAAATAATTTTTTCAGAAAATAAAAAACATAGTGTCATAAACTATTTTAAAAAATATTAAATAAGAGTTTTATAATTATAATTATTATATTTTATAATAAATTGTGTAAAATTAAAAAAAATTTATCGTCGCAATAACCGCAATAATTACAATAATCTTCATTATATTCGAAAATGCGATAAATATAATTCAACCGAAAACGTAACTATAACCGCTATTTAAATCCATGTTTCCCCGTAAAATATTGAAGAGATAAGTCAGTAAGTGATCCATCTTCTGGGTCATGATGGGTAGACTTCAAAGCATACAATATTTGATATTTCTTTCATCGGAATTTTACCCTGTTATGCGCAGCTCCTGCTTCAATGAATAAATAATCATCCACTAGTCAACCCCAAAGGTGGGTTCCGGCCCTCGTTCTCTAGATAAGAATGCCAAATTGGCCAACCATCCCATTAACAGTCCATTGTTGTACAATCAACAAACCAAATAAGGATTTGGATCCCTCTTTTTTTTTTTTTTTTCTTTAAATCTTTAGGATTTGATTTGGTTTTATTTTTGTCATGTTATAAACAGGTTCAATATTAACGATGCAGGATTCAAGAAAATTGACCAGTCGATTTTAAAGATGTAACATTGTATTTTCAATGAATAAATATGGGCTAACCCAGCAAACACATACTCTCAAATTTACTATACAAAGAGAACAGAACAAAAGAGCATAAACAATAAGAAAAACCTAGCTACAAGGACATTTTGAAACAAAAGAACATGAAAATGCACGCATGCAAATCACATCTTTGTGGACCAAAAAGAAAAACCAAGCCACATTTCTGTTTGAACTGCTCCATTTTAATGTAACATATATTTAATTATTATCATCTACCTAGAAATAATTACTTCAATCTCTGCCTAAACTCAGTGGGGTATATCAACACAGAATCTACACAAAGACCTCCTTTTGTATGTGTACAATCGATCTGCATCATGGAAAATTTGATTTTTGTTGCGGAATTTGAATTCTCAATCCCAAAATCACCCACATGGTAATGAACCCAGTTCCCTGGTTCGTACAGGTAACATTCTGATGAGGCTTGCTGACCATTGGATGTTGAAAGTTGAAATCGGACAGGCTTGATATTCCAACCGTGAACCTGATCAAGGTTACAGACCCGTCGGCCAAATCTTTTCGAGGCTTTGCCTAGCTGCAGCCTGAAGAATAGACTATATGCCCCTGGAGGAAATTCAAACTCTAATTCTCCAACCAGTTCAAACCACCATATTTGTTGAAGATATGCCACTGTCTCGAATCTACAAGTCAAAGAAAATTGATATCTAAGTGAATTCTTTGCCTTATTATTCACTTTTCCTGCTTTCTACATATATATATATTTCAAGTACTTAAAAAACTGGTATTACTAAAGTTGACAGTATTGAAAGCAATTCCCAGGTTGGGGGCTCATTTGCTTCTAACTCTAGACAAGGTTTAATTATACAAGCTTCTAGGGATTAATAAAAGAAGTCCATAATTTTCATCAGGCAAGGCATCTGCCCTGGAAAAAAAAATGACACTAAAATTGAATACTTAAAAGACAAGGCAAGCAATCGGCATATAAATGTAATAAAAATCTTTCTCCGCATATTTCTTATAAGCCATCCAACTTGGTTTAGTCCTTTTGTGCAAGTTGCAATTGTGGGTATTTCGAAAAGGTGATCAGAACATCTAGATGGATGGTTGAGTCGCCTCCAGAAACAAAAGGTCTATTCCTTTTTTTTTTTTTTTTCAGCAAAATGACAGGGTAAAATATATTCCAATGTAAATGTTCCACTTTCACTGATATGTCATTTTCCACAGTAATTCAACAAGGAAAAGAAAAGAGAAGGAAAGAATCACATAATTATTCCAAAAGAAAGGAGAAACATCAAGGAATAATAAGGTATCACCTAGATTCTTCTGTTGGAATGTGATTCCAATATCTCCGATCATCTATCCCTGTTATTTTCAGTGCCTTGGAGGATACTGACAAGCAAAGCTTACCGCTACTTTTATCCAACCACACTTCCTACAGTTGAAATTGAAACAGAAAAAAAGAATCAGAAATAACTATTGAATCATAATTGGTTTTATTCAGGCCAAATTAGAAAATCTCAAAATCCATTGTATATCTAATAATATCCTATACAAGGATAAACATCAAAGTTTGTGATCAGATTTAACTCAAAACTATCTAGCCTTTTTCTTATTTTTGATTGGTGATCAATGAACCAGCAAAGAATAGAAAGAAAGATACCTTGGTGCCACCATCAAAACGATTCGGTCTGCACAATCTTGCATAAGTCTCTTTCTTGCTCAAAGACTCTGGACTTTGATTAAGAACCTTCTTAACCAGATACCTATAGTTTGATGGCAGCTTTGTTTCCCACACAAAATCAGCCAAAGAAGCTCCACGGAAAGCCCTGCTCAAGCTCGCTAACTTGCAAATCTCCGGTGGATCCAAGTACATAAAAATAGATGATATACAACTTTCTGGCACATCATCAAGACCAGGCTTCAGTCCAAAACCCCTTTGAGCGTCTGCCGCAAGACCAGAAACACCAGCCCCCATAAATATAAAAAAGGAAAATTCAAGAAAAGTTAAAGCAAGATTTTGTTTGAAGAAATGGTTTAGAGGTAGAGGAGAAGAAGATAAATGAGGCAGGAAACAGGGGGGAAAATCCAAGAAGATGTCACCATTTTCTTCATGTTCAATGGAAAGAGAGGAGGGGTTTACTTTCTGGGTTTTTAACACAAGGATTAGAGTCTTTGAGAAACGGGATAAAGAGAGAGCCCTAATATTAATATTTTTCTCCACTTGACAATGAGAAAGGGGACGTGTACATGAGTGTGCATGGAATATATTTTGTCTTTGCAATACATATACGTTATCGATACACCGATGTTAGTGGCTTCACGAAAACAAGGGCAATTATTAAATTGGTTCAAAGCTTGGAAATTATCATTTATTTACTGTGTGATTTCTAATATTTTTCAGATAATTTTTTTTTCTTTTCATTTGCGATCGACAATTATTCAAGTTATTTTTTAGTTTATAATTGTAACTAGATTTTTTTTTTCAATAAAGCCGTAGTCTATTTTATTTTGGAGATAAGTCAAGCATAGAAATTTCAACATTCATTTATATTAATTTAAAAATTAAGTAGGGCGATGGATGTCATTGTACTGGGCCAAATTGATAACAAATTAAGCAACAAATAAAAATTATAATCAAAATAAAATATTATAGTTTGTATAAAAATAAATAAATTAAATTGAACAACGACCAATATATTAAAATATAATAAAACAAATTTAACATAAAATTGAACTAAATTAATCAAATTTAAATTTTCTAAAATTTTTCTTTATCACTATAACAAGATTTTGTTGATTACAATTACACAAGATTTTGTTGATTACAATTGTACTTGTTAGAAAAAGGAAAATAGACATATACTGATACTGATAATGTAAGTATAAATTGGATTGTTTGCTTGCCTGGCCATGGGCGGTGCCGGCGAGGCAACCTTTCGGCAAGTGATAATGAAGGACTGGTATACCCTCCCTATTATTAAAGACAAACAAAAACAAAAGACTGACCCAACAAGATTTAGTTGTCATTAGAAATAGCAACATTAATTCTTTTTGAAAAAAACAAAAAAAAAAAAAAGTCGTTCGGCTTGGGTTGTGAATTGTGTCGTGCACATGAATGACCACTATTTAAATAAACCCCATGTTTCCCACACATGATTATTTTTAATAAAAAATCAAAATTTGTTTTTCATTCATTAATTCGATTTAATTACTCCGCATCTCCTCGTCAGATTATTCAACATGAAACTTGAATAATAATTAACTAAATTTCACATTGGTGACTGTTTCTCTAACTAGAAGTACTGCATGTGTGGTCTTTGAGCATGCCAACTCTAAATTTGATAAAGTAGAATATATATGTTTGTGGAAAATGTTTGGCTGTTAATAATGCTATGTTAAATTAAAAAAAAAAAATCAATTGAACATGTAATATATGTTAAAGTAATTTGATTTTAAAATATGAAATTATTACTTTTGATAAATTTAAAATTTTGAGAAAATACTCAAAGACATGTAACAACGTCACTTTTCTTAAGATTTTATTTACCCCAATTATATTATTTATTTAGTAGGTGTGCAAAAAGGTTATAGACAATAAACCTTGAAGATGTAATGAAATCTAGTGACTTACTACATTTTGCATTGATGAAATCAGTCCACCAAGCAATCACCTATATCACAAGTTACTAAATTTTCATATAGGTTTTCTATAACAAAACTTTTATAAAAGAAATTTAAAGTTTGAAGAAAGAGGAAAAGTTCCAAAAATTGTTTCTGTATGTATTCAAAAAACCAAAGAAGCCTTTTACAAAAAGATAAGTGTTTTTTTCTACAAATATAACTATCTATTTTAAATAAACATAAACTGTTTGTTTTTTAATAGTTAAAACTGTTCATTTTGAATTTATCTTTCTATTTTGAATAAAATTTAACTATCTGTCTTTATTTTTTCTTTTCTAATGTAGGATTATTTCTCATATTTTATTTTAAAAATCTCTAACAATCCTCTACCATTTTCAAAATAATCTAGATTTATGTCTTAGAAATCAAATACATAAATGAATGTATCTTCTGATTTGAACCCTCATTTAGTGAAAACAAGTTAAAGTTAACCAAAATCACATGATAGATTATGCTTTAAACCAACTATTCCATTTGGTTAATTGAACTTGTCTCACACAATGATTTCAACACCTAATGAATGCTTGGTATTCGATTACACATTTATGGCCATGTGTCTACATCTTCTTTTCATAAGTGCTATTAAAGTTAAGCTTTTAAGCTCCTAGAAGCGGCCACACTTCACATTCAATAGGTAGCTCCCATTAAGAGTGTTATTGTAACTATAACATTCTAACATATTTATGTTATAAGTCTATTAAGAGTATATTACTTATATTTTCTTTACCATTATAGGTACTTACCACTTTATTTATGATGGCATTAAACATTACTATAGTACTAGTACTCACATTTGGATGATGTAATTTATCTTATTGAACTCAAGACTTGACGTTATACCAAGCGTTGAGTCAAGTTTCCATCGTGGGTGACTTTAGTTCATGAGCTTGAGCCTCATCCCTTTGAGGTCTCTTTTTCCAACTTTCTAGCAAGACTTTGGTTAAATGATCCACCAAAATTTCATTTGACCTCACATAATTTATAGTGATCACTTAATTTGAAATTAATTGTCAAACATAGTTCTGTCTTAATTCAATATGTCTAGACTTTTCATTATATACTTGTCTATATGCCCTTGCTAGATTTGTTTCATTATCACATCAAATAGAATGTAGGGAAATTGATTTAGGCCAATGCAATAAACTCGACTGCCATGGTGGAATTCGTTATGCATGTTTATTTTTTAGAACCTCAAGAAATCGCATACCCATTAAGTACAAAGATCCACCCGCTTATAGAAGTATGATATTCTATATTAGTAATCCAACTAGCATCAGAATATCCTTCTATAACTGAATGATATCCATTATAACACAATTCATAATTGATTGTTTTCTTCAAATAGTGAAGTACTCTTTTAACTACTTGCTAATGCAAATTACTTGGATTACTTTTGTATTTACTCAACTTTTCAATAGCAAATGTTATGTTTGGCCTTGTCCAAGTCATTGCATATAGCAGATAGCCAATTACTCTTGTATATTGCAATTGATCAATTATTCTACTAGTATTAAATACTAATTTCAGTTGAGAATCTCTAGGTGTAGATACTAGAATACAATAAAAAAGATAAAGCTTTTTAAGTACTTTTTCAATATAATGCGATTGTGACAAGGTTATGCCACTACCATTCTGAATTATTCTAATTCCAAGAATAGCATTCGTTACACCCATATCTTTCATTGAAGAGTTATTTAATAAATTTTTTTTGTTTCCTTAACTTGTTCTGAATCAGTGTCAAATATTAGCATATCATCTATATGTAAGTAAATTATGATTACATTACCATTTTCAAATTTGATAGATATGCATTTATCTAACTTATTAATTCTAAAATCATTAGCAGGAATGATTTCATCAAACTTTTGATACCATTGTTTTGGTGCTTGCTTAAGTCCATACAAGGACTTTATAAGCTTACAAACCTTATGCTTTTGACCTGAAATGACAAATCATTCCAATTGTTCCATATATATTTCTTCTTCTAATTCACCATTTAAAAATACAATCTTTACATCTATTTGATGTATAATCAAATTATAAATCAAGGTAAGTGAAATTAGAAGCCTAATTGTAACAAATCTAGCTACTGAAAAGTATTAAAGTAATATATTCTTTACTTTTATTTAAATCTCTCGGCTGCCAACCTTGCTTTAAATTTATCTATGATTCCATCTTCCTTTATTTTATTTTTTTTAAAAATCCATTTGTAGCTTATTGGATTAGAACCTAGTGGAAGGTCGACCAAAATCTAAGTGGTATTTTCGATTATTGAGTCCATTTTATCATTTATTGCTTTTCTCTAAAAAGCAAAATCTTGAAAATTCATTGCCTCTTTATATGTAACAAGATCAAACTTCGCATTAAAACAATAAGAAATTTTATTATTTATGTTTCACCAATCCCTTCCACAACAAACATAAGAAAATCTGGTCCAAAATCTTTTACCTTTCTAACCCTTTTGTATGTCCTTATTTCTTGACAAGATTCATCACTAATTTTAATTTGTTCCAATGAATTTGAAACTTTTTTTTCACTTATAGGATGAATTGCTTGTAGTTATCTCGAAATAGATTTAAATATATTTTCATAAAAAATTGCATCTTTTGATTTAATAATAGTGTTAACTGAAATTAAATCATTTGGTTCAATAACCATGGACCTATATGTTTTACTATTTTGTGCATATCCTATAAATATGCATTCTATTTCTCTTTCACCCAACTTTTATCTTTTGGGTTTTAGAATTTTAACTACAGCTCTACTTCACCAAACCTTTAAATAATTAAGATTTGATTTTTTTTTTCCATTGCTCATATGGGATTATTTTTGTTTCTTTGTTAGGAATTCTATTTAATATATGACAAGCTATTAATAAAGCTTCACCCCAAAATATTTATCCAATATCAGAATATGATAACATTGCATTTACCATTTTTATTAAGATTATGTTCTTCCTTCAACTATGCCATTCTATTATGATATATAATGAGTAATAACTTGGTGGATTATTTCGGCGGATTCAAAGTAACTTGGACTATAATATTCTCCACCCCTATTCAACCTCAAGCACTTAATAAAAAATTCACATTAAAGTTCAACTTCAAATTTATATATTTTAAACTTTCAAGTACTTCATTTTTGGAATATAACAAATAAATATAACAATATCTGCTACAATCTTTTATAAATGTGATAAAATATTTTTTTTCAGATAATGTAGGATTGCTATGCATTTCACAAATATCACTGTGAATTAACTTAAGTAACTTTGTATTTCTTTTATCCTTAAGAAAAGGATTTCTGATAATCTTAATCAACATGCATGTATCACATTTATTAATGTCTTGACTAAATTCAGAAATTAATAGAAGCTTATTCATATCATGCAATTTTTTATAATTTAAATGACCTAATTTATAATGCCATAAATATGAAGATTCAACCATGTAAGTAGAAACAACATTCTTATTTTTAT